TTGTTATTGAAATGAAGAGTTGATCCTGTGAGCTTTTTTAACCTCAAAATTTCATTTAAATAAACACTGCATTGTTTGTATGTTTATTACAGCGCTTTAACATGTTTTATCTCATTGGCGTTAAATCCTTATATTATTCCACTGTATGGAAATCAGCTCAGACTTATTATCTGAGGACGGTAGCCTTACCTTTATAATAGTGAGCACTCACTCAGATTCAGCCTTCAAGTTACACTGTCAAGTCATTGAAATCTTCTTGGTGGTGCTTTTTAAGGGCAGTTAGACATCCAACAGTCAGCTGCTCAAATGTAACACATCCATGAGCAAATATGCAAATGTAAAACTGGAATATTTAAATATTTTTGTGAATGTCGTATGATGTTAAAGGTGTGATCTGAGCATTGAATCCTTGAATTGCTTAAGAAAAAAAAGAAAAAAAAAACTGTGCTCAATACAACATGAAAATTTAACGTGAATGTAAGAATGAAAGAACACAGACGACTGAATGTTGATTGGAGCAAATCCACCTCAGCAAAGTTCAAGAGAACACTGATGAGGAGAACTCATATATTGGTTGAAGCAGACTAAAGCTTAAATCGCCTGAAGGGCCCAAATGTCAAAGTCAGGAATATAAAAGCTACTATTTGCAGCTCATTAAATGATTTTACCAAATTTGAGCAGACCCACATTAACAAGATCTACAAAAATAGAACTGCTTGAACTGCTGATTGCAGCACAGGAACAATTCAGAAATATACCGCAGGCATGTTAACTTCCTGTTTTCAGATGATCTGCCTTGTTGCTTGTTGAGCTGTGATGTACAAACTGCTGTTTAAACTGGACTTCTTGGCCATCTGATCAAAATGTAGCCACATGCAGTTAGTTTGGAGCTGACTCTGAGTAAACATTCAGTATATGTTAATTCATTTATGGCTAATTCCTGCTTTGTTGTGTCGTATGGGTATGTGTGACGGAAAGTTCATCATCACTGGATTGTCCACAATAAAAGCGCACCGATTGCACATGTACCAAGAAAACAAGTGGCGCTTCAAACAAATGCTTGACATGAGGAGTGAATCCACAACTTCATAGTTCATCTGGGCTTTGGAGGAGGCCAAACACAGCAGGAATTTTTAAATTCCTCCAAAATCCTGTGCTATATCTGCTCACCATCCTCAACACACTGTCACTGTTAAAGTGACCCTGATCAACCTGCAGACTACAGCCCCAGTACAAATGCAGTATTTATTTGTCCATTCATTTACTATGCTGTGCTTTTTGACTTTATTAGCATATCTGTCTGATGTGTGAGAATCATTGGTTTGCTATGCTACGCTCTCTTTGTCCAAAATGCAACATTACAAATAAACATGGCATCGCTGCATGTCAGCAGCTGTCACATGTCTTGCAGTGTGGTTCTGAAAAATTAAGACAGACACAGTTTCATGTTCCTTCGTTTTGTCAGAGCTCTTGCATCAGATTTCCTAAAGCTCTCATCAGTGCAAGCAGCTCGAAAATGTTTAAATACCAACTTTCACCCAAGATGCAAAAAATCACGACTGATACATTGACAATGCTGAACAAACTCTGTGCACATCTTTAACTCAGATGCTCAGTTTTGAAGGTTTGGGTTGGAAAGCTTCAATGACACAGTTGAGCTCTGAGCCCTGTTTCTGTCAGTGTTTCACTCCATCCGCCCTCTAGATGTCCTCAGTTTTCCACTCTGCTCCCAGCTGAGCTCTATGAACACTTCAGCTGTTCTCATTTCCCATTCATCAAGGCATTTTTCTTCCAAACTGCCCACCAGCCCTAAAGGCTGTTTTTACATTCTAAATGAAACGCTGAAACCATTTATGTCAGCCTAGTTTGTCTGCATTTCATACCTCATCCCAACATTTTTCGTACAGGATTTTGGAGTTAGGGCTGCAAGGTGGCGTAGTTGGTTAGCACTGTTGCCTCG